TGAATTGTGTTCCTATCCTCCAGCATATCCACAGTCCTTCCCAGTTTCACGTCATCTGCAAATTTGCTCAAAAATCTCTCAATTCCAGCATTCAAATCTTTAATAAACAAGTTGAACAGCACTGGGCCCAGGACAGACCCCTGTGTGACTCCACTCAAAACCTCCTCCCATTCTGACATGGATATATTTAAAATTACACTGAGTGGCATGCTAATTTCTGTTAGCTTCCAAATCCTAACTTTCTAGCCCTGTAAGCTGGTGGTGAGGTTATTGCCTTGCATGTTCAAAGAATTTGAGAGCAACAAAAGTGGTGATGTCAGGGTAAATTAAATTGTGCAAATTTTTGTGTCGAGTAAATCTGCTCTTTAAATGAAGGAGACAGAACAGAGCCAGCCCATAATTGTAGGTATTACTGATCTGCTCATTCAAGAGTCAGAAGTCTTATAGTGCTATGGCATTTTAGGATCTTTGATGTCTTGAACATTAACCGATGCCCCTGTAGACCATCATAGGTTATAGATACATCTATCAAACTTTAGGTTCTGTTGTAACCCAGACTCTTTGTTGTAATGGCAAGAACCTGTTTTCAGCATCGTAATTCTGATTTTGAAGATGGGGTGATGGGAGGAGAGATTGGCCAGTAACACTCTCCTAACTAACTTGGTTATCAGAGAGCTTTCCTTTTCCCCCATATTTGAGAAGGGTGATGGACAAGTGTTCACCCCAAAGAGGCAGAGAATGTCTCCAGTGACTGGCTGGGTGCAGCATGCTTGCATTTAATACATAGCATAAACTACCTATCTCAAGGTTAGCATTCAGTTTCAGTCAATTCCTTTTTATAATGTCCTTTATTGAAGTGTATATAGTTGGTATTAGTTAGAATTCATGTTGTGCATAGATTTTTTTCATAGGATATTTCAGTTTAGAGTTTAAGTAGGTGCTTAGAATTATATTAATTAATAAAGTGTATGGAGTGAATATAGCTGTTATTACTTGCAATTCATGATGTGTATTGTTTTATTTTATTAAGCTATTTCATTTTAGACCTTAATTAAGTGCTTAGAATTCTAATAATATGTCAATTAATGGCTTCCATGGGCTTAATCCCCTGATTAAGTCCATGGAAGCCATTATTAAGTTGTGATTTTATTAAAATTTCAAGGGGGCCATTAATTATTTGCAGGCTTGATCAACCCCATGGAAGCCATTAACGGCCACTTAGCTTGTTTAATAATGCATCAATGAATGGCATCTGTGGGCTTAATTGTTGCATTCAGCTTGCAGAAGCCATCTGGCAACCTGCAGGGAAGGACTTTTGGGGCCCCTCAGCCAATCAAAGGTACGCAGGGGGGGAAGGGGGAGGGGGAGGGGGTGCTAGGTTTGGACCACACAAATGGCTGCTTTGCCCCCAGTCTCCCTGCAAAATTCTCCAGCAGCCACCTCAATTTTGATAGTGCCCTACTCATGAGTAATATGTTTTATGACAACTGTCAAAAGCAGGAAGAGTTTTCTGGGATCTGCTCTGCACTTTACATATCATCTCTATCTTCTCCAGTACATGCAATCTAGGTTGTTTAGTGAAAATTCCAACATATTTAAGTGTAGATTCAGTCAACAGGACTTCATGGCTAATGGGAATAGGGAAGTGTTGACTGTAAGGAAAATTTCTGAATGGAGTTTATGAGTCGTCTTGGAAACACTGCTATCATCTTTTATCAGAAACAAAGGTTTGGGATCGGTTTGGTGTTCTGTTTAACCGAGTAAAAAGCCCCTGGTTGTTTAGGATCAAAAAAGGAGGAAGACATCTGAAAAGAGGCCCAGTCTGTGAGTTGCTCACTATTTGTATAATTTATACTACCAATTTAGTATGGCTGGTATCTATTGAAGTTATCCAGATACACAGCTATGTAGTATAAAGAATTATTGGTGCCCTCACTATTAAGATTTGGAGTTGGTAAATGTTCATTGTCCAGTTCTTATTGCAGCAGTAGAGATTCCAAAAACCTTGGATTCATCACGTTAATGCTTGATATACAATTATATCATTCATAGCAGCAATTAGTTCATAGCCATGCATTTTGTAGCTACCAGCTTGCTCATAAAAGTGCTTTTATTCTTTCCTTAAAGATGTTAGAATTAATGGAATAATATTTAATGATTTAATGAGCTAAAGTAATATTATGGATCAACATCAATTAACCAGCATTATTGTTTATCTCATGGTGGACCATATCAATAATTTTTTTTTATGATTGAATTGATATTCATTTCCACTTAAGAAGCAAAGCAGCAGGACTATGACATTTAATATAATATCTTTCTTTCTGTGACTGAGTTACAAAACTCCACTCTGCTTAACAAAACAAGAAAGGATACCTGAAACAAGTATAATGAGTATAAACAAGTATAATGAGTGGAAAGATGGTTAAGGACTAGCCAAAGACTCACAAGCCCCAAGTTCAATTATTTGGTCTTTCACAGACTGAGTGGACACTGTCCACACCTCAGATTCTCTTGTGGAAGTTGGAGATGGACACTAAATGAAGAAACATTATTTGGGGTATGATCTATCAGAGAATTTTTAACTAAATTTGACAGATTATACAGATAGCTCTAAGACCCACCATATGACTAAAACTGTCTACTAAATTCAATGTTTTTTATATAAACAAAGAAAAATCTAGTAGTGCCTCTTTAATTTGGAAAGGGCTATATCCAAATTAGACGTCAGCATGAAGACCTATTCACCTTTTTAGTGAATAGATGGTTTGGAGCATTTTAGAAACCCTAAGATAGTCATATTTGTATTGTATTCTGCAATAATGGTACATTCATCACACCAGCAAACTAAGGTTTCCAAGGTGAGCAACGTTATTTAGAGTCAGTGAAAGGTTTGGTGTTTCAAGTATGTCAGCATTTTCAGTAAATATAGTTCTATCAGCATCACAGCCAGCAACTAACTTTAGGTGTTATATTGCCATTTTCCCCCTTTCAGTGGGCAACCACTATATCAATATCAGGATTGTGCATGACCCCTTTCTCAAACATAAACTGAGAATTGTTTTGCCTTTTGAGAAAAATGTGTGGCTATTTTATTATGCAGTAGTTTTCATGGGCAGAGATTCTCATTTTTTTATATCTGGTGACATCATACAGATATGATTTTTCATGTGTTTTGTATTGCATAAAGGTTTCGTTTTGTGTGCAATATATTCTCATTTACAATGGTTTTTTTTGTTTTTTTGTTTTTTCTCATAGATTCATAGACACTAGGGCTGGAAGGGACCTCACAAAACCATCGGGTCCAGCCCCTGCCCAAAGGACAGGAGGTCTGCTGGGGTCAAATGATCCCAGCAAGATAAGCATCCAAGTGTGTTTTAAAGGTTTCCAGAGTAGGTGCTTGCACCACTCCTGGGGGGAGTCTATTCCAGACTCTGGGGACTTGGATGGTAAAGAAGTTTTTTCTTATGTCCAGTTTAAAACGGTCTTCCCGGAGTTTATGACCATGTAGGCCTGTGGGGTCAGGCCAACTCTCAGGATATCAGTATTGCGCTGTTAGACAGGAGGGTGTGACACAATTGCACATATACAAACACACAAATAAGTTAGGTGCATACACACACACACACACTACCAGCCCAGGCACATACACATCCAAACCAGCCTAGGCACATGCATACCTATCACCAATTCAAGCACATACACTATTATACTATACACCACAAAAGTTAAACACAGATCGTTAATTCGTATATCATGCACACAATGCCATATATATATGGCACTCTCACACTAGCAACACAGATACACACATGTTCAAAATAACCAGTCTAGGTTCCTGCACACCTATCACCGGTTTAAGCCCATACACACTACACACACCAAATTTAGACAGAATCAGTTACCAGTTACCAACACCTGCACATCCAGTACACATATGTGGATTACTAATTCATATACCACACACACACAATAATATCTATATATGTATATGTATATATATATATATATATATATGTATTCATACACATACCACCCACCTACACATACACATACACACAAGTGAGTTCCTAAGTTGGGTGTTGTGATATGTATGTATATATGTGCTTGGTGTACTTGGGATACCTGGGGAAAGGTTAAGGTAAGAAAATAGAAGTGTAGGGATTATTATTATTATTATTATTATATTGAGCACTTCTCAATATAATAGCACTTCTCAGCTCTAGATTTTAACATATTTTATGAAAGGTGAATAAGCTTTAGTATTTCTATTTTGTAGATAGAAAAAAAATGATAGTATACTACTAGCACCTGGTTCAAATGTAAGGCGGAGGGAGAAGGGAAGGACGGGGGAAGAACATCCAAGAGTGGAAGCCAATTCTCTAGAGCAGTGATTTTCAATCAGGGTTTCGTGGCACCTTGGGGTACCTTGAGACCTTTGCAAGGGTGCCACTGGGTGCCATATAGTGTTAGTGCTGTTAGGTGTGCAAACATGATTCTCAAGATAAACCCAGAGATTTCACAGAGGAATCCATAGTGTTAAAAACATTCTGAACTGTTATGGGCTTTCTGAGTTCTTTGCAACAGTAAAATGACTCTATGATTTTTCTGTAGTCAAAAAAGAGTGAAAAGTAAAAGCTTGTATTTTTTGAGGCATGTGTTAAGTATATCAAGGGGTGCCTTCTGTCTAAAAAGTTGAGAACCAATTCTCTAGAGTTTGTTCACTGACTTAGCCACTTGAATATGTTCCCCACATTTTTTCCTGATCTTTTCTATTCCATCATCTTCTGCAATCTGGTCAGTTACAGAACTCTAACTTTTATTTCTTTTCCCACCCCAAATGTCTTTAAAAGCACAAATTAATGAATGTAAGCTTCCCATGGTTTCATGGTTCTAAATTTTCTAGAGGTAAGTCTGTGTGCTCTTAATATATACTGATGAATTTCAAAGCATTTGAGATGAGACTTAATTCATTTGTGTTTGTGTTTCTTTCAATTCAGCAATATCTTGTGGCATTCCTAAAGCTCCAGTAAATGGTGGAATATTAACTACAGATTACTTAGTTGGCACCCGTGTTACTTACTTCTGCAATGATGGGTATAGACTCTCATCCAAGGAGCTTACTACTGCAGTCTGCCAGCCAGATGGTACATGGAGCAATCATAATAAAACACCTCGTTGCGTAGGTAAGTAGCATAGAGAAATTCTCTCATGATTCAGAACTTCACAGTATTTGTATTAATCAAAAAAAAAATCTCAAAATATTTTAATATTTTGAGAATATGTTATATTCTATCTATCTATCTATCTATCTATCTATCTATCTATCTATCTCAAAACATCATCTTGCAGTTACAAAACAAATATGTTTCAGATTCTAAAAAGTTGATAATTCATGACCAAATCCACGACTTTCCTGCTTTCACAGGTTGTGGAAACCACATAGTCAAATCAGAATAAATGAGCAGAGCCTGACCCTTTTAATTACTGAGTACTTGGCTTTCAGAGATAGCTGAGCAGTACCTCTGCTGATGTTTAAACCACATTCCCTCCCCAGAATTCCAGAAGTTCTGTGCATTAAGGATAGCTATGTGATGCCAGTGCAGATTAACTGCATCCATGGAACTCCACACTAGGTGCATCTACATGAGACATTTACTGCAGAGTTACCTAATTAGCTCTGCAGTAAACGTCTCAGTGTCTACACATACAGGGCTATTTATCTGGATTAAACTAATTAAATCTGCAGCAGGGTAGTACTTGTAAATACTTCAGTGTGCTTCAGTATGGGAGCTTCAGTGTGGTGGCTGCCTGCCAGCTAGTCCTGTACTGAAGCACCCTTGTTCCTGGCCACCTCCTCGGCAGCACATTGAGCCAGTTTGGAGCAGCCCCAGGCTAGCAGGCTGACTCCCTGGGTCCCCTGATTGCTGAGGTTGCTCCACCCCAGCTCAACATGCTGTGGTCCTGGGCACACACGTAAAAGTAACACATAGGAACAATTAACTCCAGCATAATATGTGCCAGTGTTTCTTGTGTCACATTAATATGTTCGTGTAGACATGCCAACTATGTGGATATCAAAGAGGAAATGTACCTGACGTTTCACAGGGATAAGTGGAAACAACCAAAGTTATTAGCTATGTAAACCCAAAGGGGCTGCAAGACTGAGGCAGAGATACCTGTCTGAGTGTAGATGAGCCCTCATTCATTGTTGTTAAGGAAAGATGGGAGAAGACAGATGCCCTGGAAATGTACCTATACCCATAACTCTATTACAGGGTTTTTAGTAAGTTGTAGACTTTTTCTTATGTCAAGAGGAGAATGGAAAAAGAGAGCAGTATTCAGTCACATCTGTAATGAAACAAATGTAATGACATTCTTCAGTTGCAATGTTAAATCACAAAAAGGGAAATAAAATAGCCATTCAAACATCAGAAAAGGAATTTATATAGATAGAAAGTAATTCCTAAATTGAAATGTAGCCAAGACTATATCGAACAGCCCTACTTTAATGCAAAGTTCTACACGATTTAATGGACATAAACAGTTTCTTGATTTTGTACTAGATGCTAAAGATAGAATTTCCCCTCCTACCAAGAGCACAGTGTCTGATCTCCCCTTTCTTTAAGTCAGTATTGACTCAGTGATAAAAGTGTCCACTTACACAACTTCCATCATTTGTGGTGGGTTATGCAATAAGATATCAAAGTCCAAATATGAAGTCATTGTGATAAAAATTTAACAATGTATTCATAAAAACAATCATGCATTTTGTATTTCCTTTAACTGTTAACTCACTGAGCCACAATTAACTGTCTTTTTGTTGAAGTTGTTACTTGTCCAAGCATCAACTCCTTCACGTTGGAGCATGGGAGATGGAGAATAGTCAATGGCTCACATTATGAGTACAAAACAAAAGTTGTTTTCAGCTGTGATCCAGGCTATTATGGTTTGGGGCCAGCATCCATTGAGTGTCTTGCCAATGGAACATGGAGTTGGAGAAACGAGAGGCCTTACTGCCAAAGTGAGTATGTGTTATCTGAGCTTTTTTTATTGGTTTTCTTCAGTTTGGCTAGGATAGCAGAATACTTCCTACATCATAATTGTGGGTAATTCTGCTGTCAGTCCTTGTTAATTAATATCCATTATTGTTAACTGAAGGTGGATTAAATTTGTAATAATAGGCCTATTCCCACACTACTATCATCTCAAAGTGTATGGCACAGAGACACTGATGGGAGTGTGTCAGACAAAGTGGGTGTCCTCCTACTCTGTACAGCCTCTCTGGGGGCCAGACACAATGGCCACCTGTGTTCTCAGGTAAAAGGGATTGTTCTTTCCGAGTGTTAGCCATAATGTAGGTTATTCCAGAAAAGGCAAAAGGTAGATGCATTCAGAGAATGATGCAGCCTTCACATTTCCTCTGCAGAGTAGTGAAGTTGGGATAAATTATTTTTCATTAACATTCCTAAGAGAAGCCAGTATCTTAATGTTAATATCTGGCCATATACACTTGAAGACAGAGAGGTCATAAATAAGAACCACCATGGAAACAAGTACTTCTAAACAAGTAGGCTACTCAGTCTTTAGTAACTAAAAGAAAGCATCTATGAGCATCTGCTCATTTAAAATTACTTTAACATTTAGACAATTTGGAAATATTGTCCCTATAACATTTTCTGGAAACTAAGTATAAAAACTCTAATGCTTTTGTGGAAAGAGAGGTACATCAATGCTTTTAGTATGTGTGTATTTAAACATAATGAGTACAGAAAGATGCTGATGAACTATGGTCCTTTGAAGTTATATTCTGGGGATGTTTTCATTTCAGTATGTTAAAAAAGAACATCAGTTTATTTATGCACACAAAAATAGTGATCCAAAATTAGAATTAAATGCTAAAACTATTAAATTAGGACTCAAAATAGGACAGTTTATGATATTTAGAAATGATTTTGGCAGGCAGAGGGGAAGAACTTTTGCATCTTCCTGGAAATTTCAAATTTGATTTGGAAAGCTTTTATTTTATTTTTTTTTAAATGGAAGTTGTATTGAAATAATATAGGTCTGTTTTTGTCAAAATATTGTATGTAAAACTTTTTTTTTTCAATTCTTCCAGGGGAAAAAATGGTGTAAACCCTGCCCTTTTTATTGTACACAGACTTCACACTTACCTGAACAGCTAAATGTTTTCAGTGCTAGCACTGCAATTTATCCTCTCAGCAGTATGATTTTTATGTTTATTTGTTTTTTTAAATCAGCATTATGAACTTTTGAATTAGGAAATATTCTGGATTGATTAATATGACAAGGGACTCAAAAAACAAAACAACTCGTTCAGTACCAAGACTTTGTATTATATAAATGCTAGAGCATGTGTTGTACTGTGAACTACAAGTTAAAAATGAAGTAAGTTCTTTCCAAAGAAACTTAACATGCTGTTTTGCAAACACAAAAGGAGCAATAAAACATGTATACAAGTGTTACACACAGAAACAGGTATTAAAGAGTCATGATTTGTAGTTATGTAAGGTACTCTGACTATTTATTTATATGGTTTTAAAGAATTAGTTTAAAATATTGGTGGTTGAACCAGATAAGCCTTGAGGTCTCTTCCTAACACTGATTTTCTAAAACTGTTTATCATGAGTCCATAGAATATAATTTCTAGTTTTTCACAGATTTTTCTCTAGTTTCACCATAGAACAGAATACCTCCCATATTTATTTTAACCAGTTAAAAATATATATTTAGTGAGTTTTTTAATATGATGCTTTTTTTTTTTTGTATCTTAAAGTTATATCTTGTGGAGAACTACCTACCCCGCCAAATGGAAATAAGATTGGAACTCAAATCACATATGGATCTACTGCTATATTTACATGTGATTCAGGCTATATGCTAGTTGGCTCTGCTGTAAGGGAATGTCTCTCTTCTGGACTCTGGAGTGGGACCGAAACAAGATGCTTAGGTATGGAAACGACAATAATGACTGGGCTTGTTCTTTTAACACTTTTATTTAGCAGGCATCTGCAGTATAAGTCAGCTAATGGATTTTTCCTATAAGCCTTCCATGAACAGAAGTCCAGTAGACTTGCTGGATTGGACTCTTATTTTTTTGAAAACTGGATATGAACAAGGGAAAATCTACTGTTTATCTTTATCATGTATAAAGACCCTTTTACTTCACCAAATCAAAACCCACATTAATATTTAAGAATTTAAGTCACTTATGTAACTTTAAAATAACCATTATACTTTCTCATCTGTCTGAAGAGTAATTTCAAGGGTTTTTTAATGGCCTCTCCTCTGCTCAGATGTCAGAGAAACAGTTTCATGGACCCATTTTAATTGAGTATAATACAATGTTTTTGTTCTGGTTATTATACTAACTTTATTATAGAGGCATCAATTCAGAACTCTGCTTGAAATTAGCATTTTATTTTTAGGTAAGGTCAGTGTGGCGATACTTTGGTTTCATTTTTAAATATAGCATTATAGTCCTGCATACTACTTTGTCTTCAAAATAATGTTGTGTTTATGGGTCAACTTTAAGTCCAGTTTTGAACTAATACTGTTTTAGGTTTCAAATGATCCCTGAATGAGCAAAATATTTATCTATAAATCCATATTAGGCCTCCCCTCCCAGCCCCCCTTCACGTATTTAAGGGGAATGTGGGATTTTTGTTTCCTTTACAGTTTACCATAGAAACTACTTCACAGAAGAAAAGGAAAGAGGTCACTCTTGGTAGGTAGGTGGGTGCGTGGATGCATGGAGTTTAGGGATATTGTGAAATATTTTGTTTCAAAATGAAGGGGTGTAAAGCACTATGGTGTGTATAGAGTCTTTGTGAGACACATGTGTCCAGAGTGTCCTACATAAACTATGTGCAGAATGAGAATGGGATTGTCAGAGCTTTCCAGCCCTTTTCCAGATGACAGAACCAGAAAGCATAATGACAATCTAAAATGTATATCTGGCTAGGAGATGGGTGGAATATGGCTATACTATTACCCTCAGAAAATAATCTCTCAAAACCCGGACATGCAGGACATTTTAGAGACAATCAGAGATGCGTATGAGAAGTACTACGGCTCATAGACAGCTGCAGCAGGCTGCTGTAACTCAGAAAATCACTCAAGGCTAATTATGCAGTTCTAATTGCAAAAGTTGTAGATAATACACATTTTCCAATTGCCTTTGTGCCACAGCTCTAACAAGGAGTTATCAGTGCCTACCCTCTTGCTGTGTTGAGTTTTATTCTTTTTAGAATACCTCAAGTGCAATGTTCTATTGTGTAAATATCTATATTAATGCAATGGCTTATATCATCACATAACCTGGTTCAAAGGGATATGGCTAAAGGAGATTTGCTTTTAAATTAGTATGATTTCTCATGGATTTCTTTTATGGTATTGAAGCTAAATGTTCTGTTAAGGACAAAGGTCAGAACAGTTGTGTGTGGATGGTATAACACAGCACTTTTAACAAAATATTGTGCGCAAAAATATATAAATAAAACCCTCAAGGAGGTTCACCATACAAATCTTAGCTATACATTAAATCTTCTGCAAGTTTTATAGTAATAAAATGTAAAAAAAAAAATTAATTGTTAATATACAGTGACATTTGGAGATAAAAACCATGACTTCTATGTCTCCAAGGTTACAAACTGCCTCTCGCAATTTTATTGTTTTTTGAGGGTTTTTTTTTTTTTTTTTTGGGGGGGGGGGTTGTACAGAGAAAGTTAAATCACTTCTTTATGGGGTAAAGTATCTGTATTAAATATGGGAGAATATTCAGAGCTGTCAAAATAGGGATTTCTATTGATTATTTGGTTTATATCCAGTAGAATAAAGGATCCCAATATTTAGTTGCATATCTTCCTCAGGGAAAAGTCAAATTGCTGACAAAAGAAATAAATTCCTGTACTTCAGTTTATAAGAAAACCCAAGACCTTTTTCCACTGTTAATATTACCTGCAGTTATGGATATAAACAGTTTCTATATGTGAGGAGCAAAAGAATTTTTAATATAATTCTAAGAAATAATATTTGATCATGAATAATTTAAATAAAGCCTTTGAAGAACAAAGCTATTAACTTAGATGCACACTAACACCCACACCCCTTGGGAAACTTTTAAATATACTATATTTATATTTACACATTAGATGCATAATGTATAGTTAAGTTAGAGCTGTGTATTTTCATTCTTAGAGGTAGAAATGTTACATCATTTTTCCTCCTTCTGCATAATGAATCATACTAAAGTAAGGTCTGGCACAAACAAATAAATGAAATTCTGGCAACCCAAAATAAATTTCACTACTTCATCTAAATAGAAATTCTTTTTTTTTTCTTTTTTTAAGAAAAAGAGGATAAAATTCACTAGCATCAGCAAATGCCAAGTAAAGAGTGTTCTGATGTTTGTTGTCATAGATTAGCAGTAAAACAGAAATGAGAGTTTACAACTCAAATTATATTTAGAATGCAAAAGGAGCTGTCGTTCATTCCCATGCCATTCAGCCCTGTCTAAGAAAATATATATTTTTTGACTGGAAAAAAATATGGAAAAATATATATATTTTTTTTTAATTTGAGAAATGAAATATTTTACAGACTTCAAGGACAGGCTAAAATTATTAAGGTTCAGAAACAGATTTATATCTTTCTTTCATCTCCCAGAAGTACAATTATTAAAGATTTTATTCAGCATAATTTTCGAATTAACCAATTATCCCATGCAAAATTGTAGTCATGAGTAGGAAGTATAGATATTGTTGTGGATAAACAAAAAATGGAATATTCTCCTTTTTTACTGGTTCACCACTGAGTTCTGATAATCTGTCCCTAAAATCCAAGCCAAATATTCTCAATGAAGCAATACCCAATGTATTAGAGGAAATAAAATCTGCTTTTGATATTAATGATTAGGTATTTTTCCCCTAAGTAAATTCCACCGGTGAAAAGACCATGCTCCTACGTGGGATATTGGATTTTTTTCACTTTTTGAAAGGCCTCTGAAATCTCCATGGGTAAAAACAGAGGTGATGTAGACCTAAACAAAACAAACCCCCCTTTCATTTGCTATATCACTTTATTGGTAAATCACTACATTACATTAATAGACATTCTATTTTTTTATATTTTGGCTTACATTTCAATTTGAAAACCATCATTTAAAATAGGAACAAGGAAAAGAAACAAACAAAATACAGTGTACCGTTCAAGTTCTCTTGTGTTTCTGCTTCTGGGAAGAACTTCTGCCCATGCGTTTCCCTGCACCTGTCATCTCATTCAATTACAACAACACTGGATAAACTTAAGAATTACTTTTTCTGGTGATCCTCTTTAGTCTATTCTTACACAGATACGCTAGTCACCTAACACACTGCACTTGTAGGTTTGGGGTAGATCCAGTTTGCTTTGCTTGTGATCCATCTAATTCGACTGGGTTTAGGCATCTAGATACTCTAAACAGAAAAATGAGGAGAAAGAGAAGCATTCTGAGGCAATTAATAGTAAACATTAAGCCAGCAATGTGTCTGAACTCCTGCCTCCCTCAGGAGTTTAGGTACCTGAAACAGGCTGCATACTATGGGTAAGTGCAAGTATTGCATTTAGATCAACCTAACCAAGGTTAAGCTGAGCTAATTTCCCAGGCATGCAGGTGTACACAGAATTAAATTGCCCAAAAATGGCATGCATGGTTTAAGTTAGTTCACCTTAGCAGGTGATTGATTAGGGTTAACTAGATCTAAAATGAGTTAACTCCATCTATGGAAAGCCTACACATATTCACAGCACAGCTCCTAGGGCTGGGAAAACCCAGCCACTTACCCTAGACCTGGGACTGTCCTCTTCCTACTCCCTCTCCAGTGACCATGCCCAGGCTACTTTGAGCCCCTTTGATTACTCCCACCCCTATCCCTGTACCAGGCAACTCCCCCTGATAACGCACCAGCCCCTTCTAGACTCATCAACCCCATCCTTTTCCCCCTGTGGACCTTTTAAAATGACCTAATCCTGCTCTTACTGTAATTAAAAAATAAAGACAGTACTTGGTTTATAGATGTGTTTACTTGTAAATGTGTTGTACATGTTTTATTTTTGTTTTACTCCTTTATTTCAGTTTATGAACAAAATCTCCCATTTTTGCTTTTTATGGACGCGTCCACATATGCAAGCACGTGCACTTGCAGCAGCTCAAATAGAAGCGGTGCAAATTGGAGCCGGGGCTTTTTGCTTCAGTGCACGTGCTCAGACATGCACTTTGGTATGGAGCAAATTGTGCCACTTGGGGCAAAATAATCCTGCCTGGCTCCTCCCAGATCTGCAGCCAGTGGGAGCTAGAGCCTGGGGCCAGCACCTGTGCTGTCCCCAGCAGTATAAAAAGCCGCCCTGGCAAGTAGCTCAGGGCTACCTGCTCTCAGGGGCTTCTGGGACCCAGCCAATTGGTAACTGGGGACACTATACCTTGTGCCAACTGAAATGCTGAAGCAGCCCTGAGAGTTCCCTGCACCCTCTACTCACTGCAGCAGTCTGGCAGTGGGGGCTGCTGCCTGATGGGGACTGCAGAGCCAGCAGAGGCATCTGCCCCTCTGGACCAGCTGCCAGTGGACCGTGGTTGCAGGGCTGGCTTCTGTGCGGCACTGCTGCCATGTGTGCCCCCTGCCTGGCCATCTGGGCAGTTATCGCCCGGAAGATGTTCTGGGTGCAGTGGCCTACCTTGAACTGTCAAAGCATGCCTCCTGGCCCCATTTGGCCAGGAGGTCAGCCACAGCCAGCTAGGTCCAAGGTGCCAGCTTTGAGAAAGCAGGGCCCTGCCACTGGTCTCCCTAGCAGGAATTCTGGTGTTCCCTATTGGAAAACTGAAAAATCCCTGATAAAAAAATCCAGAAGTCACTCTGTAAAATACCCACAAATCTATGTTCCGCCACAAGTAAAACAAAAGACCACTATACAGAG